ACATGATTTGCTAATATAGACAATGCTTATATCGAAGTGAGATGCTGAAAGAGTTAAAAAAAAAAAAAGTCAGTGATAGTTAAACTTAATAAAAGGATGATTACAATAATATATGATTACTATGTTAAATTATTTTTTTGCCTATTTGCCACACTTTTATATCTTTCGGTTGCTTGAGTGATAGTGAATTTTTTTTCTATAAATCCTGTATATTGCCATTGTTAAAACAATAGTAATATACAGATTCACAGGATTCACAATATTTATTATCATGATAATTTCTTTCTGAATCTAGTATTATATTGTTTCTTATACTAATAAAATATAAATATACATACCACTTACATGATAATTGTTATATTAAGATACACTGGGAATTTATAACTCAAAAAAAATAAAAATGGTTTAATAGCTACATTAAAAAAAAAATTGCAATTTTAAATTTACTTACATTTAAATTTTTTTATAAAAGCTCTAGCCAAGCAGCATAATTGTGCTATAAAAAAATTATGATATGAATATTTTACTTAATATAATATATATGTAAATAAGACTTCACTAGTAAAATTTTGTAATTTTAAAATATTTCTCCAATTCATCTATTCGTGCTAACTAAATAATGCTAAATGCTAGAAGATATAGTTATATGCTATTTATATTTGCATTTAATTTCCTTTCTTATTTTAATAGCACTGATTGGTTATAAATCCTATAACACCACATACTTACAGATACCTGTAAATACCTACAGATATAGTTGGTAGTAAAATTACTGAATTATGTCAATTATGGTATTTTACCAGTAGGATTAATTACAGCATAGCATCTAATTGCCATAAATATTATCTGCTATAATACCATAATATCGCAATAATACAATATTGTATAATACTATAATACTATAATTAACAATATTATAATATTAACTACTTGCTATGCTACAGTTACTCCAATCTGGAAACTGATGAATATGTTGATATTCACCATACAAGCATTTAATTTTAGTTAGTAAGTATGAAAGTTGTTTATATTCTATTAAAGTGTAAAAAATCTATATGTTGGAGGTGAAATAAAAATATTTTATGATTACAAAGAAAACTTAAATATAGAAGTGTGCATATTATAATGAATATGACAAGATGAAGTAAGATGTCTATAATATGAAGCAATGAAGATGGCAATAAGTAAGGATACTAATGATTGCACAAAAGCATTTCAACTTAAAGCCTTATTTACAAAAACTCACAGATACCACAGATACATGAATACTCACCAATACCATGGATACTATAAATATCTGTGGATACTACAGATACCACAAATATTCACGGATACTTGTTAAGGCTATTCGTTTAAAATTGACAGATACAGTTACTATCTGTAAGATGTTTATAACACCTGGATATCTAGTTAACTGTATGGATATTCAGATAAGAGGTTTATGAGTCCAAGTACTATTGTATATAGATTTATAAATTTTAGAGCCTAAGCAACTATAAGTTGGAGTGTTTGTACAGCACAAGGTAAATATTCTACACTATCTCAAAGCCTGATAGCTCTTTTCATATTCGCTCTATTATCTGTTATTATACAGATAATTTTTTCAGTTAGTTTAAATTCTTTAACTTTCACATTTAGATATTCTTTTATCCGAATACCTGTATATAGATGATCGAATTTTTTAATAGCAAGTAATGCCTCATGTACTTCAAACTCAAGTATTAATCAATAAAAAGTTATGCCAATATATCTATCATTGCTTTGAGCTGTCCATAAGTCAGTGGTTATGGAAGCTGTCTTACAAGTAGTAGAAAGTAAGTTTTTAAGTTCCTTTATTGCTTTATAATAAGCAATATCAATTTCTTTTTTAATGTATTTATTAGTTGGTAGTATAAATACAAGATCAATTCGATTTATCATTTTCGGTACCCTTTTCTATATATAATATTAAATGGAAGAGAATCAGTTACTAACCACTTAGCTGTGATTCACTTTAACTTTAATTGCTTAGATTTATTATGTAGAATCACTTTTTTAAACATTTGAGATATGTTTAACTAACATTTTTTATTTGAATTTGATTGTAATTCATTTGGTCCAAAAATTCCATGTATAGATCATAAGTGTAATTTCACATTTCTGGTTCCTCCATCATGCTTATACTTTCTTTGACATTCAGTATTTATACCTTTTTTAGTTACAATTATCTTATAAATGTTATCAGTACCCACTTTAGCATGCTTTTCTTCAAAGTACTTCTAAACATAACTTGTTCTTTTTTTAGAATCAACTAGTTTAGTAAGATTAACACAAATTTTCTTGAAGCTTGGTTCTTCTGTAAACTTTTTTCTAAACTTTTTTATAGCAATAGAAGAACTAGTATTACTTTGAGTATTAGTAACACTTTGAGTATTAATATTAAAGGTTTGTCTAATATTAGAGATATATTCAATGTCTGATGCATATTTAACGTCTGGGGTATATTCAACGTTTGAGATATATTTGTTATCTATATCTATTGTTGCTATTAATCAAATTAGACTTAGTTTTGTAAAGAAATAAAAAAAATTTATATTAATTAAATGAAATATTGACTATATATTTATATTAGTCCAAAGATATTAAATAATTCCAATTTATTGTTTGTATATTATTTAGAATTACAGTTGAATTCTAATATTTACTTATGTCAAAAAGCAATCATTTATATATATTTTGGTTATTATTAGAATTATTGAATCTTGATTATTGCATCTTTATGATTAATCTATAGCACAATTATTAGGTAAAATTTTTTTAATTATTAATCTAATTTGAAAATATAATAACAATTATTCGATGCATCTTGAAAAATTTAATTTAATCAATTATTCAAGTATAATATAGCAAAATCTTAATTATTCATTCTATATTTAGTTGTCGTTTTCATATTTAATTATATTCTATATTTGGTACTAATTATTACTTGTTAAAAGTCAAATTTGGTAGTTAAAGTTAGACGATCATATCCAAAATAGATAATTTTTACTTATATAGCTTTTTTTATTTCAAAGATCTAAGCCTGATTCAAATGAGTTTTGAGATATTTCAAGCCAACCAGGCTGATATGAAGCATAGATATTGCAATGAAAAAGATCTAAGCCATTTCTAAATAAGTTCAAGGCAGCTTGATTAATGCGAGATAAGGTTATAATAGTATGATTGTTCTGAAAGGTTCAAGCCTTTTAGGTGATTAGATTGTATTATTAAAGATTTTCTAGTTTATTGAGTTTTTTTTTTAGAAATAAAAGACTATTTGTATAAAAATATAAATTTTTAAAGATCTGTGTTTAAAATTGCTGAATGTGTTTTGAATATTTTAGTATTTGGTGATTAGCCAACATTAATGATTATATTAAAATCTTTATCGCCAAGAAGTTCGATAACTATTTGAAAGTTTTCAAAGAATTTAATTTTCGTCACGTGAAATAATGTACTTATATTTTGCACAAAATAAATTAGATACTTTTCATGAATAAATATCCCACTTGGGATAAAATCTAGAGATTTACCCGTATAAGGTGTCTTGAATTTGTATAACGTTATATGAATGTTTGAATATTTAAGTTTTAGTACTTAACCCCAAAGAATTTTATGTCGCTTTGATAAATTATGCGAGTTACCCGATGGTAGAGGGTAGACATTTTTATTATATAGCTATAATAAATTACCCGGATAACCGGGTAATTTAATAATACCCGGGTAGAGATTTTCTTGACGGGTACAAACTCTACCCGGCGGGTCACCCGACGGGTGACCACCTGGGTTGCCACAATACCACCCGGGTGACCCGCGGGTGAACGGGTGACTCGGGTGGTCACCCACCCGGGTCCAATCACTATAAGGATGCTACTTGATAATACTTGATAACCCCCTTTCAATTGTCATTCAAAGTTTGCTACTTGATAAGGCCTTTCAATTGTTATTCAATTAATTCTAAGTATATTATTACAGCGATAAAAAGCATTAGCAAACACGAATCATAATTATTACACGTTACTATTGTTAGCACGAATCATAATTATTACATGTCACTATCATTAAAGTAGATTCTTGAGAATACTTCAATTACATTCATTACATTATCGTTTGTTCCATTGAACTTTAATTAAATTTTTCCATTGATCTTTGGTTAAATTTGACCATAATAATAACAAATAAGCACCATTACGATTAATTATATTATATCATTATATATATATATATATATATATATTACTTGGGAACTCCCTTTTCAATCAATTGTTGCCCAATTATCCAATTATTATATTATTCATATATATTTTATTCGTATAGTATTATTTGTACGTTCGTATAATATTATATATTATTATACAGCAATAACATTTCCATTACGTAGGCCACAAATTGTGACACTTCACAAATTGTGACACAAATTCCGTTTTATATATGTTCGACCATTACCCAATCAGAACCCAGTTTTTGCACACTTGCCATTCTAGTTGTCTGTTAACCATACACTTCGTAATTTGCATTACTACGTTCCTGGTATTAATAAAAAAAGACGTTCATGGTTCAAATCAGAGCACAAAATCTACTGTAAAATACCGGAGATTCCGGTAAATTAAGAAAAATTCCGGCACAATTTTTTGATAGTCGGAAATTTTCCGTTGTTCAAGAATTTTGACATTTTCTTACATCATAACCGATTATTACTGTCGTTACTACCTCCGGTTATAGATCTTAAATTCCGTTTAATAAAAAGATCGCCGGAAAAATATCAGAATACGTCATGCCACAATTTTGTGCTCTGGTTCAAATAGTCAAAGACATATGTTAAATAGGTCGTCAATAGAAATTAGAATAGTCTATTTTAATTATCAAGTCAACAAATGAGTCTCGACTAAGATCACCACAATGAGCGTTATAAAATTATAATATATCAACAAGTTAATTAAATTAGCGTGAATTAAAAGTAAAGAATGATATGAATGAGAACTTTAGTGTTCAGATAGCATATCTTTAACAGCTTCATAGTATTCGGTATGTACATAATTTTTCATCTCTTGCTTGGTAACCCACGCAAAATCTACAATTTCTTTATTATCTACTTTGACTTGACCAGCGAATATGTGCGCGGCCATGAAGAATACCTAACAAAAGATTGCGTTAGTTTATGATGAATAAAACAGAAATATAAAAATTAAAAAATTAAAAAAGACCTTTGCTCCTTTATATTCGGCATTGTCTTTTACAAAGCTTTTTGGGTAGTCATACTTGTAATACCCAACCGGTCTTCTCCCAACGAACCAAACGTCCATACAATTACCACATTCTTCTTCCAATTCTCGACTAGCAGCCTTTTTCGAAGGTTATTAGTCACGAAATTATTATATATTATATATATAATTTAAAATAAATTGAATCTTGAACTCTATTGATAAATCGAATAGCAAAATTACTTGAACCAACGTTTCCGTTTTCTCAACTCCACCTTGTGGGAATTGCCACGAATGTTCTTCTCTTGGTTTCCTGACGATAAGGTATAACGTACGCTGTAAGGCTCTATCAAGTGACTTGGCATCATTCGTTAAGTCGGCAGATGTTATTCTACTAGCAATTTTTATTTCTTCTTCCTCCGATGATACATCACTTGAATCTATAGCTTCATCCTCGCCAATTTTCTCAGAAGACGTTTTATTTTTTGTTTTTCGTAAACCAAATGCTAATAATGCATCTGCTTTTTCTCTTTCCTTTTTTTCCTTCCATTTTTTCTCTGCTACACTACCTTTTTTAAAATAAAAATCCACCGGAAAGGGTGATGCATGTATATGTTCTAATCGTTGCTGATATAAATAATATTCTCGTTCAAAGGGGTGTGGGTCTCTGAAGATAATAGGATTACGCGACAAAACTACGCCAGCAACTATTCTGTATCCATCGTGTACCTCATTTTTGTCAGATTTAAGAAGATTTAAAATATCTGATTGTGATTTCTGAGATATTGGTTGGCTTCTCGGAAAAAAAGAAATTTTATTTTGATTAAAAAATCTAAATCTTAATTTTTGTAAAAACATTTGTGGTTAGGAAAAATTTTCATTGATCGCGTTGAAAATTATTTTAGTCTAATTATGCTACACAAGATCTAGTGCATCTTTAAGTTACATGATCTATCGTTCTTTTCAAATTAGTGAGATCAAATTTATGAATTCTATGAATTCTATATACTGTCATTAATTTTATAATGTTGATATGCGGGATTCGTAGGATTCATAGGATTCATAAAATTTGATTATGTTCTCACTAATTTGAAAAGAGCGATAACAATTAATTAATATTTTTTATCAGATCCTGATAATCTAGTCAAATTGGATCTTCGAGACTATTTAAATTAAATTATAGTCCGAAGGGTTATTCTGATTGATTAAAAGAACGATTAATAAAATCAGTGTCGTAAAATCGATTTAACATGCTTAAAGATAAATTTGTAGAAGTCGATTCACCAATATATTAATAAAACAAGTTCGAAAACGAGATAATAAATTTAATAAATCTTTTACGATTCTAAATTTATTAATTAGGCAGATTAGTTGAGCAATTTGGCTCGAATATGCATAGTAGAAGATTCATTAATTGCTTATAAGTGCTCTATATGAAAATGTAATCGATTATATATATTATATATATATATATATATATAGTTATATTCATTATTGCTATATAAAATTTGGTTAAAGAAGTTTTAATTCGCATGCTACACAAGAAAAGAGGTTTAATAATAAAGTAACTCTCAAGAGTAATATTTGCTTTTGATATCCAACTTCATTTATTATATTAAAATATAGCAATTGGATTATTTTTTAAAATAAAAGAACATCGAACTAGTTATTACTGTATTATAATCATTTACTTATGCGACAAATGAATTA